CTTGCTTAGAACCTTGTTAGGCTAACAAAGTTACTGGCTTTTATATTAGTTGTACTAGCCGTCTTTATATGCTTGGCTTAAACGGTAAACATGACGGTTACGGTTCCTCTATTAATTTAACATTATCTGACTATGAATAATCCTAGTAAAATTTTTATTTAAAATTTTTAGACTTTTGTCTAAGCGAATGAGTTGATAATTTCGAAAGTGATGGCTCAGAAATGATTGTTTTTGTTACTTATTTCGCGTCATTTTTCACCAAATCGTCTTCTTTTTATCTCCAACTTATCGCTTCTATCAACAGTTATTCTATAGCTGTTTCAAGTAAAGTTGAAAATATATAGCAAAGAAAAAACTACAGATGTTTATCTTTATTGCTTGATGATAGCCAGACTAAGTAATTTATCAATTATTTTATGAATACTGACATCAAACTAAACCAAATAATTCAACCTGACCGCCAGGTAAATGGCAGAGTACTTACTAGAAAAAATCCATTATATTTTTCGAGTTTTTTTAGACTTTTTAGGAGTTACTTCGAAGAGTTACTAAATATTTTTTGTCATTCTCAGGTAGACAATGGTCTCGAAAGAACGCACAAGTTGACTACCACTGTAACCAACACATAACTGAGGGTACAAAATGCGTCTGGCGTTCGTTCGCCATCCTACGAGAATCCGCCTCTCTAATACTGTCATAGAACAGATGGGTTTTGGTGATTTTTTGCCGTTTTGCCAACTAACCATTGTTATTTCCAATCATTTGTATTATACTTACTTAATGTTGTATGAAATGTTCTTCTTTTTATTTCTTTTCTTTTTCCTTTTTTTTCTTTTGTCATGTGGTCTAAGAAGTGCTCATAAATCAAGCTCTTCTTCTCTTCAACAACATCCAAGGCAAAAGATATGCGAAGTCGTTCAAATAAAAAGTACATGAAAATAACAATACTGAAACGATACTGTTGGTAGCTGGCTTGAACTGTGTAAGATCATCAAATGCTTTTGCACTATACAGCTTCAGGTAGACAAAAAAGATGAAAGAACAATTTTTTATTTGAAAAACTGCTCAAGTTTAAGGAAAAAATACTTTGTGCTTACGAAACACATTCTTCCTTACAAGAAAAC